TTAGTTTTAACTATAATGTATGTATTAATTATATATTTTTTATTATATCTATATTAGTTTTGCACACTAGCATAAATTAAAGTTTTTTTATAAGCTTGCGTTATTACAGTATTTGGCCGTTAAAACACCAAAATTTCAGTTGCTCACTGCAACTCTGTATATGCCATCATTTGTGCATTATAATTTGTGCATACTGTTATTATAATACTAAATAATTACTGTCCTTGGTTCAACAGATTGTTCATATGATTCATGCAGCATCTGGGTCAGACAGTATCGACTCTGCTTATAAATCCACAATCTAATCCTGTTTACATTAAACAAACCTCTGGAGCTATGACAACAACTCCAAGATGAACGGAACAATCCAGGATTGGGTCTAACCCTAAAATACAAAAAAAAAGAAGAAGGTGCCAAACACTAAGTATAAAAACTAGCAATGCTCATATATTCAGAAATTAAGCATTAGGTCAAACATGTATTAAGAAAATGGAGTACATTTTGATTAAAAAAAATGACTTGATTTTAAAGTCATGTAACATCAGCACAATAAATCTAACATGATCTATAAAACACACAATGTGATCAATTCCACCTTTCCAAGTTTCCTTTACATTTTGTGCAGCATATGACTGGTCATGACATGAATGGCATCAGATATTTGCAAGCACACTATCTTACCCTGAGAGACCCTCTGACTTTACTAACGGAATTTCCTGGAATAGATGTGAGTGTGTCACTTGAGCTCAGCTCTTACTGTAAGAGATCTGAGAGCGGAGATCTGATCACACTGTAACCTTCATGTACAGATGCACTATGAGTATCACATAATCAACTCATGTGCTAGTCAGTGGGTGGAATTAACATGCAAAACAAACATGAGACCACTAAAATACATCAATATCAGGGGCGTGCCAACCATTATGCATTTCTAAATACTGTAATTCCCCCACTTCTATAGAGAAGCAGTGCTCATGTGGGCTCTACGAGTTCGAGTATGAAGCTGCCCCTTGTTTTTTTTTAAATATCTGACTTTTCAAACCTATCAGGACATATACGCTAAATATCCTGAGTTATGTTAAGTTCTCCTGAAACTCTAAGGTGGTTTGTATTGCCAAATCACTTTATATGAACACACGCTTCATCAGCTGTGACAAGCTTCATCATAAATGTGACATGACAGGCAGATATATTTGAATGCACATCATTACAGTTTTTGACATTATGGTTCATCTCTCCTTGGAGAGGCAGAAAAGCTTTTTGTAGCAAAAGCCAGAAAAGATCTGAATAAACCACCTCTCGTGGTATAAAACATCTTTAAGAGAACAATAAGTGAAAAACATTGTCACTGACACTGAATATTTTTTACTCAATACCACAGAGGGCTAAAGGTTGCATGTATAACATGCATTATCAGCACTTAATCTATAATTTTGCATTATGTTCTTGCTTATAATTTGAAAGAGAAGTATTTGACCTAAGTCAGTAAACATTCATATTTAATCGGTGTAAACATACAATGCTGTAGATTGAGTTCTGTTTAGTTTTAATATCCATCACAACCACTTATAGATTTCACATCTTCAAGCTATTTTAATGTAATCGTTGTTTTCAATGACAACTTCCATTTAAAAGATGAAACTGATTGTACTGCAGTAGCTTTATGGTGCTGAAATAATGGTCAAAGACAAGCAGATAATGCCAGAGAGATGGTTCCATTAAGAGAAACCAATTAAATTTCCTCTTAATTTGTCCATTCACACCTCTAATTACAGCATGTTAACTAAATCTGCATAATTAGACTTTCACTGATCTGTGCTGCCTGACTGACATTTAAATATGTCATCTGAACAAATTAGCAATTAGAGACGCATACAGCAAAAAAAATTTTTTTTATAAATAAATAAATTATAATAAAATTTATAATCAGCCCTCATGACTTCATTAAGAAACTAGTGAGGGGAACCCATGAACGCTTCAAGTCAGAGTCATAGGTGACAGAAAGAATCAGAATCATGCTGGGATAACAGGGAAATGGTCTGCGTTATTACTTTTAGACTGACAAAAATTCTGATTTTTTTTTTAGTCAGAATGTCTCCATATTTTCTGCTCTTTTTAGACTTAAAAAATAAGGGTGTCTTTCTGTCTATAAGTGGGTGGATCTTGGCTGGAATAAGCTGCGATTTGGACTCAACCTTATAAAGGTGAGATTAGTGGATTTTACATGAGATTTGTGGAAGTTTATTCCCATCAAATTTATGAACATTTCAGTCCTTTTGTTAATGGAAACTGGAAAAGTGACCAATAGGCCTGCCAAGAGCCTCTTCCAAAGCTCTTTCAAATCTTCAGAACAGTGATTATGAAAAGCTTAAAAATGCTTACCTAAATCACAGCTTTTACACTTTCTCCACTGTTCTATGCGCTTATACTTAAAGGGGTCATATGATGCTGCTAAAAAGAACATTATTTTGTGTATTTGGTGTAATGAAATGTGCTTATGCAGTTTAAAGTAAAAAAAAAAAACACATTATTTTCCACATACTGTACATTATTGTTTCTCCTCTATGCCCCGCCTTTTTGAAACGCGTCGATTTTTACAAGCCCCGGCTTAGCGTGCGCTGAGGCCGGGCTAGAGTGAGCTGAGGCGGCGGTGTCGAGAACGGCGCGTCCAGCGGATCAGACGAATGAGCGGCAACCACATGTGACGACCCCGGGCAGGACTCAAGAATATCTCTTTGGATTTGAGACTTTAGTGTTTGCAACTTTACAGATCTTCTTTATGCACCAAGAGCTTGTAACACTCCAAAGAGAAAGGAAAAATTGAAATCGCATCATATGACCCCTTTAACTCTTCATTTTTAAATAAAAAGGTTCCATTTAGATTTAAAAAAGTTTTGATAGTTGAATGTCATAGAAGATTCTTTTTAGCCTGCTTTAGGGATGGTGCTCTAAAAACAGGGGTTTTCAAACTTTTTGATGCCAAAGACAACCAAATATAAGAATTCCTCGGGAAGGACCCCTTCCTATAATATAAATTCGACCATCTATTTTCATGTACAAAGACCCAATGTTTGAGTAAAATATTGTGACATTATAAAGACATGTTTTTTTGTTTGTTTGTTTTTCCAAAAATAAAACAACAGGCTTTTTTATTTTGTTTTTGTTGTAATGCCAATTGTTGCTAATTGTTCTGATATTATCTGGAAGATATTTATTTTGTATTATGTTGACTTAACAAGCTAAAACACATTTTCAGCTAAACTGAAATCAATTTATCAAATTTTTTGCTAATGACAAAACTATCCTTGAACGTATGTACAATACAAAGAAAGAGATTTAAAGATTCATTTTTAACAAAAAAAATTGTATGTCTTATTGTTAAAGACTGATGTCAATAGAATAAAATAATAGCTATCAATCTTATTATGCCCATTCAGCCTTTAGAAAGTGACATTAAACAGTATTCAATTTGTTAAATGTGTTAAAGCCACATGAAACATTTAATTAATATTAGTTAACATGTTAACTTTGACAGCCCTAAAAATTGCATTAAAACTTTTTTTTTTCTTTTTTGCATAAATTCTTGCACCCCCTGGTGGCCCCATGGGGGTCCCCAGACCCCAGTTTGAAACCCTTAGAGAACCTATTTTAAAATCAAGACTGTTTTCAATCTCCAAAGAACTAAAGAACCATATACAGTGAAAAAAAGATTATTGATAAGAAGAATGTACTATTATAGAACTCTAGAACTTGAATTATGGTATATTATCATTACTTGTATTGTTTTGCTTAAATGTCACTTTGGATAAAAGCACCTGACAAACAAATAAACTTAAATGTCTTTGGCTATAAATAGAGATACTGGCCACAGTCTCTTCAGTGCTTCATAATATAAATGTCAACATTAAGTCATGAAACCATACACATTCCTGTACCCCAAACAATAGAGCACGGTGCTAGCAGTGCCAAGGTCACAAGCTTGATGCCTGGAAATGCATGAACAAATAAAATGTTTTCCTTAAACACAGCATGTATCCTAAAAAGCTTTTGGGGGAAATGTGGTCTGAAGGCCTTCTATATTCTTTAATTTATTGTCTTTTTCACTTTTAATTATTAGAAATCATTGTACACAGCACAGTCAGTCTCATATGATGGCTACAGACCTCGGCTTTCTCACATCCAGCTGGTCAGGGATCCCCTGTGGCCACCAGGACCTCTAGCATTACATCCTGCTTTCTGAAACACCTGCTTCTGAGTTGGCACAGAAGTGTGGGATCCTGAGAGATTGGAACACATCCATCTGTTCCTCCGTGCCACTGTAACCAAAAGTGCCTGACTGTAACTCTGCCTACAGGAGCAAACGATGCTGGATGAAATAACCAGTCAAAATATCCACTCACACACAGAATTACATAATAAAATGGTACTATTTATTTCTTATACGGAGACACTTATCTGGTTGTGGTATCACACTAGATATTCTAGTGTGAGGATGACATACTGTATTTCATGAATTAGGCCAAGATAATAAAATAAGGAAAAATTTATATTTTTGCTCTGTGCACATGCGCAGTATGAGGCGCGGGTTCCGCTTCTCTGTGCGCATGTGTAGTATGCTGCGCTGTGCACAGGCGCGGTGTGAGACGCGTTTGTAAGATGGCGGTGTGAGCTCGCGGCCTGCTCCTGTATGCCCGAGATTCCCGCGGTCATCATTCATACACTTGATACTGTGTGCGTGGCGCGAACGGTTGGCGGGAGAAGGCGTGAGGTATGTATCTAACTTCATTAAATAATGGTTTATTTCACACTGGTCCCTGTTACATCCTATTCATATTTACTCAAAAACCGGCCCGTCATTAGCACATTTAAAGCACCACATTCACATAAACACACTATATAAACCTATAAGAACACTGCGAATGTAGTATACTGCGAGTTGAGTCAGAAATTAAGTGATTAAAATCATGTTTGACCTGTCTAATATTCATCTGCCGGTAGTTTGCGCAATCCGTAACGTCATTCAAATGAAATGCGCTTCAAAGACCTAATTAATGAGTCATGTTGTTAACGTCTGAGGGTATTTTAGAACTTTTTGAGTTGGTTTAGTTATTATGATGTAGGTTTGAATGTTGTCTAATCTTTAATGAGTCAAATTTAATAGTACGGTTAAGAACAGAAGACTCAGGTGTATTTGGCTGATATTTGAATTTTGGTCCAGGAATTTGCTTGTGCACATCACATAAAGCTAGTTAACAGAATTGGCCAGCAAAACTAGCCATTTTCAAATATAAACCGAGTATACATCTGTGGTGAAAGGTTTTGTTTTGTTTGTTTAAATTTATTTCACGTTGTAATATAATCTAGTCTTTCTCAATTTTATTTGTATTTGACATGTTTGTATTTGACAGCTGAGCTGTGATGGCCAAGCGGATTGCGGAAAAAGAGTTGACGGACAGGAACTGGGATCAGGAAGATGAAGGAGAGGAGGTGTGCAACTTTTCAGCATCTACACACTTTCACTGTCAAACATCAGTGGAAACACTCGTACAGTACAGCGGTGGCGAACTCCGGTCCTGGAGAGCCGCAGCCCTGCAGAATACAGCTCCAACCCTAATTAAAACTCACCTGCCTGTAGCTTTCTAGTAACCCTTCAGACCTTTATTAGCTTGTTCAGGTGTGTTTGATTAGGGTTGAAGGAAAACTCTGCAGGGCTGCAGCTCTCCAGGACCGACGTTCGCCACCCCTGCTCTAGTATCTTAAAGTTTGTTTCAACCAAGAATGTTTTTTTGTTGTTGTTGTTGTTTAAAAATATTATCTTGTGGTCTCAGGCAGGAATGTTTTCAATTGCGAGTGAAGATGTGATGAAGAATCGCGCCATCAAGAAAGCCAAGCGTCGTAACGTAGGAGCAGAGGTAACGTGCCTCTTGGTGTCCCAGCAGACGTCAAGTTATGTGTTCTGAGGGTGTTTTATAGATGAGTTTTGTTGTTTTGTCACAGGGAGAGAGTGGAGGGGCTTTCAAAGTGTTTAAGGGGTTCTCTCTGACCTCGGCCACAGGGACGACATCATTCTCGGGCTTTGGCAATGGAGCTGGTTTCAAACCTCTGTCCAGCCTGACCAATGGCAGCATAGCATCAGTGGCTCCATCTTTTGCGGGGTTTAACGTTCCCACGTCTGCTAAAACTAACAGTGGTAAGTCTTTTACATGAGCTGGGCATTCAGTAGAAAGTCCAGGGTCCAAAATAAACACTTTGCCTCGGACTAAATTTGAGTGAAATTGGGTTTTGACCAGTGTTAATTGACAGCAAATTTTGATTTAGTCATAGTCTTTTGACTAAAATGCCATTTAGTTTTAGTCATATTTTAGTCATCTGAATTGTTTTTAGTTTTAGTCTAGTTTTAGTCGACTAATTATCATAAGATTTTAGTCGACTAAATCTACAGTAAATTTAGTCGGCTAAAATCTAATGGGTTTAGTTACAGTGCATTTATTAAGCATTTCTCTCAAATTTCCAAACTCATCATATAGGTTTGATATTAAGGTATTATCATGATAGACACAGATTTAACTGCAGTGACACAGGAAAATAGTGTGTCAATAATGCAAAGTGACAATAGTAAACACTAATTTTTCAGTAAAATTTTTTTTTAACACAGTTCATTACGTCTTAAGTGAACGTAAACTAAATTAGGCTGCTGTCCCTTTAAAACCGAATGCACATCTGCAATGGATGCAATGTAACTGATACACGTTCTCCCTAATGTTTACGTTCACTTAAGACGTAATCAACTGTGTTTACGTGAATACTTGTCAAAGCGGACAATTTGACATAATTTTGTGTGTAATTCTCCATTCATGCGACTCGAAAGAGTACTCGCGTGCTGTGAGACGTGCTTTCTGTGTTTGTACGCTTCAGTGTCTGCGCTCAGAAAACCGGACCGAATTGATTTACATTTTTGAACGTTTTATGCGACGTGCAGAAAGTGGATTTTAGCTTATGTCCCGCTGGTTCATATGTACGTATCTAACCTCCGAACCACGCAGCAGATTCGTTCTGAATGAATCTCTTCCCAAATCGTCCCTCCCTAACATTCTCGTCTCGTTTTTATTCGTTGACGAAAATGTCAATAGATTTACGTCATAGTTTTTGTCATTCAAAAAGCGTTTTAGTTTATCGTCTTGTTGTCGTCGGTGAAAAAAAATGTCGTTGACGAAATTAACGAAATTAACACTGGTTTTGACTAGTAAATAAAATGAGGTACTGGTTGGCTGGTAACTTAATTATGAATTGCAAAAGTAATAGATGACTTAAATAGCATATAGCACATGGACTCTTTTTCTGAGAATTACTGTGCTGTCTTTTAATTAATTAAGCATTATTTTAAGATTTGCTCAAAATATTTTTGTCAATTATTACACCCCCTCTCGCAGTATGTTTGATTTGATGTGCATAAGTTTTATGACGATTCGCTTGCTGATATGGCAGCCCTGTTAAACTATATGCTCATTAGAGCCCGACCGATATATGGGTTTTGGGGTGCCGATACCGATATTAGGGAGTAAAAAAAGGTCAGAAATCGATATATCGGCCGATATTCTTTGCGTATATTATAGTGTATATATATAAGTTTGGACACACTTCCAATTCGTGTGTCCAAACTTTTGACTGGTAATGTATATAGAATACAGTATATACATAAACAATATATATATATATACATAAACACGTTTTTTGTTTCATATGTAATGGAGGGGTATTTAACAATTTAACAATAAACTTTATTATCCAAAATGAGTCTGTGCCAGTGAGTCATCAGTGCACTAAACAGTAAACTTCACTTATTATAAATAACTTTAAAACACATAGAACAAAATATATATAACTTGAATTAAGAAAATAAACAAGGTAACTGTGTAGGGCAAGCAGGATGATACTGCCAATCCAACAGGGGCAGGTTTAGGAAAGTTTTTTTTAAATTTTTTTTTTTTCACAAATTCTGTGTTGTGTATTTTCTGGTAATCAAATGAACATGCAGGACATGAGGATTCGTATTTAAATAGTCTTTTTGCAGTTTAATATTCACAGACACTAGTCTATATCACGATTTGATTTAAGTGGACATGAGGATTCGTATTTAAATAGTCTTTTTGCAGTTTAATATTCACAGACACTAGTCTATATCACGATTTGATTTAAGTGGACATGAGGATTCGTATTTAAATAGTCTTTTTGCAGTTTAATATTCACAGACACTAGTCTATATCACGATTTGATTTAAGTGAACTGACCTGTTTTTTTTTATTCATCAAAAATATGACAAATTCTGTGAAATTCCATGTTATACAGTAAATTCCATTTTTATGTCTGGATTCCACGATTTCATCCATTTTCTGCATCAAGGAAATCATAGGGCCCTACTAATGTAAGCAAACAAGTATGATAAGCTCATATTTTGAGAGTAAAAGACAGGGACATTGTTTATTTACTTTATAGCATTGCGTCTCACCAACTAGGTGACAACGTAACATTAAATGACCATTCAGCAGACTCAAGCCACCACCACACTGCCGTCTATTGGACTGCAGAAAGATACTAACTTTTCAATCTGCTATGTTACTACTGACAAACTATGCTGACTATGCTGATTTCTGAAACGCAATGGTCAATCAGAGGTGTTTAAGTTAGAATCCACTTACCGCTCAAAAGTTGTTGCGCAGTGCTGAAAATTGTGTGCTCACGAATCCTCTCATTATAATGCACAAAGTGTAGACATTGTGAAAGATTCATTATGCATATTTTCATTGTTATAACAGAGCTTTTTTGAGATCGCGATGAACTGAGATGTCAGCTTTTTAGTGATAATAAAGGGAGCGCTGTTTGCTCGCATTCTGCAATGCCAAACCATCCACGTAGCAGCCCATTCTTGCTTTTCTGTTAAAACTAACAGTGTTGAATGTTGATGCTTAGCCTAAATAACAAATATTTTATTGAGAGCATTTATGCTGGGATGTTGTGGAGCTTACGAGATGTTACAGAACTATTTCATGTACATTTCATCGATGTACTGAAAAAAATCCATATAGGTTACTTTTATGCTGGCTTTTGTGGGCGGGAGTGGGACAAAACATGAATGTTGCGGGGCGGGAGCGGGACCAGATAAAATATTTTTCTGCGGACGCTAGGGCTGGGAGATTTTCCAGATTTTATCGATTAATTCGAATTTAATGTTTTGCCACGATTTTATTTGTTAGAAATCGAGGAATTGCGATTTTGAATAGAAATATTATCAAACGTTAGAATTACACTTTGGCAATATGCCGGTGATAACAGTAAAGAGAAAAGAACGATCTGACCGAATGTCGGCGTGACGCTCCTCGCTCATATCACTAGGCACCATTCACACAGAATGCGCTTTTGTGTTGAAAGATGCGACATGGGCAGCGGAATAGGAAAAACATGCAAGAAGATGGGAGGGAACTTCTTTTAACTTGAGCGTCGCGTTTTTACAATGGCATTTCATGCATGAGACGCTGCAAGAGACACGAGCGCAATAGTCAAACACGTCCATGTTTACATAGAAAAAACTAAGGAAAAGCAGCGCAATCGAATATAAAACCTGTACTCTGTCTGATATTTCATGCTTGCATCATGGTGACAGGCTGAAAGCTGCTGTTGTATTTACAGAACATTTATAGTTAATCAGTGTTGGGCAAGTTACTCTGAAAATGTAATCAAATTACTGATTACTCCTTTTAAAAGTAATCACGTTACTGTTCTGATTACTTTATTTCAAAAGTAATTAGTAATTAGTTACATTACTAGTTACGTAACTTTTTTCCTCCATGAAATTTATGAAATCCCAGCATACACGCTCCCAATAAACACTGTTATTTTTAACTAAAGCAATAGTTAACCATGCTGCGTATGGTTTGGCATGGCAGAATGCCAGCAAAGAGCGCTGCATTTATAATCTCTAAAAGACATCTCAGTTCATCGCAATCTCACAAATCTCTGTTATAACACATTAAATGGTGCACTTGGAATAGAATTTTCTTTAACTAGAGGGTTAATAAATAAAGTTACTTGAATCATGTTGACTATGAATCAACATTTTCAAGTTGACTAGTTAAAAATCGTAAAAAATTGAGAATTGGTCAAATGTTCTGAAAAAAATCTAGATTTAAATTTTTTGCCAAATCGCCCAGCCCTAGCGGAAGCAGGACAGAATCCTGCGGGTCTCTACAAGAGACCTCCTTACTGAAGTGAAAGGGTTGGCTCGTGTCACTACAGTGACCTGGGTTACCAGTAGCAAACAATAGAGCACGCTCTGCTGAACAAACTAAGTAATTACACCATTTACAAGCATTTTATCTGCGTTGTGTTCTGTAAAAAACAATGTTCATATCGGTGGCATAGCTGCGGCATATATGCCGATGCAGATATATCTGCGACAGGCTCATATCGGTCGCTAAAATCGGCAAAACGATAAATCGGTCAGGCTCTAATGCTCATGATTATTTTTTGAAGCATTTAATATAAAGCTCTTTCATGTTTTAGAGACCATATGATTTGGACCTTATTATTTTCACTTGTTGTCGAATAGACCACTCCAGACTAAAGGCTGGAATACACTACACTATTTTGCAAATTCTGATGGTCGGAGGATCGTATGTCCACGCACATGTCACGAGTGAGTTTTCTGAAAATCTACAGACGCAGTAGTATACGACACGATTTTACAACCTCCCGAATTCCGAAGCAATCGCATGAAGATCCCTGATGTAATGACATGTATTGTATTGAATTGAGTTGAGAGAAGTGCAGTGTATAATAATAAACTGTGTTACCTATATGTAGTACATTTAAATTAAACCGCTCTCTCTTTCTCTCTATCTGTCTCATAACTGCATAATATTGATATGAGACGTGACTGTTTGCTAGGCCTACAGGTTCTTTTTCAGCACCGGGAGGGGGGATGCAAAATCAATCGGGAGTTAATGATATTTTGAATAGAATAATGAGACACAAATCTGTAGCCTATGTATTCAATCACGTTTGCTTCCATTTAATTTTGATCAATGCTTTGCTACACAACATACAAACTTTTACTCCAAAAGTGCGCGCACATGTATTCACATGTTTACCTCATATTTCTTTAATTAGAATAGAACCATAATTTCTTAATGACTCACAGAAAGACGATTCTCTGCCGATCCGTCAATATTGCATGATCATAATTCCCACATTATGATGACTGTAAGCTTCTGCATTCGGTCTCATAATACATTTATGCATCAGCTTATTATATACAATAACTGCATTAGGTCACAGTAGAGTGAGTTTTGAGCAAAAAAAAATTGTGTATTAATCTCATACTGTCACTCTGAAATAGACTAATGGCGCGTGCTGAGTTTCTGAAAAGCCCTGCATGGATTGTATTTTATTTGCTTTTATTTTATTTATTTATATATATAGGCAGGGATACATCGACCAGAAGGGGGGAAATCCCCCTGATTTGTCCCTACAAATCGCACCCTGGTCAGGGCTGGCCCTTCGCATAGGCAAATGCTAGGGGTGCCCAAATTAGTTTTTTTTTTTTTTATATATATATAATATTTTAATTAGGGGTTTTTGATGAATTTTGGATCAAATAAATGCAGGCTTGGTGAGCAGACGAGACTTTTAATACTGAACACACTATTGAATTATTACTAGGGTTGTGACGGTGAGGAAATTTTCCCACCGGTTAATCGACGTGTGACATCACCGCGGGGGCGTTCCCTCTTTTCCTCGCTTTCCTTCGCTGTTAAATAGCTTAAAAGCGCCGTGCGCATTTTA